CATATTTTTGTACCAAATTTTTGGTACAAAAATATGCATAAATCAGGTGGTAATAAGGTAGTAATCAGTTTAAAATCGGGTACCTGATTTGTGTCTGATTTTTTATCTTTCGACCTGTGGAAGTATATTCAAATTGTACAAGTAAACTCTGTACGTACTATAGATATGTTATACAAAGTTTCACGTGACATTCTGTCATACTTTTTGATTTATTGCTATTTTAAAACTATACTAAATTAAGTATTTTGTACTAAATTTAATACAGCTAACGGATACCCATTAATCGTTAAGCGACAGAAAATTTAAGAACTGATCTTGAGACCATTCCTCCAATTGGGCCTCACTTTTTGCAGAGTTATGTTAAATATTGGCCTCAATAGGAGATGTTCAAATATTTAGGAGACAGTGTACTCGAGCACTGTCTCCTAAAAATTGCAAAGGAAAATATCTGATATTGAAATTGAGGATATTCATCCTTTACTTGCAATTAAGAATGGTGGTGATTTAATTTTCAAGGACGATGTAGCATTGAAGCCTTCAAAGCTTTTTGATGAATTAATGGAAAGGACATTCCGGCATTAAAGCCTGAGTGTAAGTTTATATCGATTTGTTTAGAATTTTATTTTCAATATATTTTCACTGTATTTCACTTTTTTTTTTTTTTTTTAACTTGAAAGTGCAAGATTAGTGGCACTTCTAGCCGGGCAAAGTTCACCAAGTAGCTGTGTGTTTTGTGCTATGTAGCAAAGAAAGATGAATCATTTGCTCAAGGTGATGGCGAACTTATTGGGCAAATGAAGGCACTGTATATAAAAGAAAAGTATGATTTAAATCCTTTATTCAATATTTTTTTCTTCAAAATTCTAATGTTTTTTATTTATATGATATAGAAAATCTATTAATTGTGCACTCACAGATGGATTGAGATGGATGTTCTACTATTTAGATGATGATATTTATTATGGAGGTAGAATTTATTATCATGAATTTCAATGTAATTTCATATTGGGCGTATTACACTACTGGATCTGAGGTAAAATCCCCGCAAGCACTCTACTTACAAAAAACACAGTATAGATTATTCACCTCTGCATAAATGAGATGAAAACTTGATAAATATATAGAATCATTAACTTCTGATACTTTTATATATAAATTGTATGCTAGATTGTTCTGATTCCTAGTTTTTTACAGGGCAATTCCCAAAATTCCGGGTCAGAATGCATCGGTGTTAGGGTTAGGGTTAGGGTTAACGGGATAGTAAAATTTTCAGCTGGGTATTTTTTTTTTACTTAATGAACGGTTATGGTTTCATTAGTAAAATTTGGGCAAAAAATCGATCGATTCTGGCCCAGCCGACCTGTATTCCGATGTATTCCGACCCGGAATTTTGGGGGTCTATTCAAAATTTTCCGTGTCCCTGAAAGTGCATCCTCATTGGCTATTTATAATTTACATATGGGCTAATATGCGTAATAATGCAAGAGAGAGAACCCCGTACCCTAAAAATTTTTTATAGTGGGTCAGGTCGTTTGACACGCCTATTTTAGTATAGTAACATTACACAGAATATACGCCTACGTACTCTCGATCTTTATAGTTCTAAAATTCAAATCTTACAGTTTTGTTTTATATATTGTAACTTATTTTTTTTTTTATATTTTAGATATTACAAGACAAAAAAGAGCAGCATAATAATTTATTAAAGTTCTGTTGAGTTGTGAAGCACTAGTTAGAGATACAAATTATTGCAATCAATAAAGCTGCTGTAGAAAAGGCTGAATTATACAGTATATTATACAGTATATATATACAGTATATATTATCAGAAACCTGGTAAAGGTTAGAAACTCTTTGGTTATTGCTGGAATTGAAGTTGAAACATAGAATTAGGTTGCGCTATCATATTAAAATGAGTAAGCGACGCAAATTGTCCACCCAGGTTATGATTTCTTAGGCGGGCTCAATCACTAATCACTGATGTCTTAAGAGAATTTGAAGGTAATTTAAAATGGATTAAAATTATTGATATCAATTTATTTTTTTCTTATGATATTTATTATATTTTCAAACTACTGTAGGAGCAAAAAATTCAGAAAACTCTACATAAGGTCATGTAAAGTTAATTTTTGTTTTGTTCAAAATTTTCAAAAAAACAATTTTTTTTTAAAGTTCCAATTGCGCTAGTTATTCTATTTTTGCCACTTAATTTTCTTATGAATCTGATATCACCCGACAGAATCCTTATTTCCTGGGATTATCCAATAGGACTGTAGAAAAAAATCGACTATTAGATAACTCAATTTTCTAATTTATGTTATACAAAGCAAAAAATTTACTTTGTGTTGTATCACTGATTTTTTTTTTTTTATGAGTTTGCACTTGCAACACATGTCTTGAATACCGATTTTCATGTCTTGAACACCAACCTTCTCCGTAGAACAGATTCTGGCCACGACAGGTATTTCGATTTGCATATCACATTGTTTAGTCTCAGCTATTTCTGGGGTTTGCTCCTTTTCAAAAAAAGCTTCATCCTTTTTAAACACTATTTTTTTTATCATTTATGATTTTAGTTTGGGTTGCTTCTGGTATTTGATGATATACCACTACTGGTGCTTTTTTTTTATAATTTATTATTTGATTTCTATAATTTATTATTTGAATAATAGATGGTGGTTTTTTTTTCTTAAATGGAAGTCTATGCCTAGGTGGCATTTCGTTAAGTAAAAGATAACTAAAAGAGAGTATGCTTCAGAGTATATTGTTTAGGAGATGCAATCTGGCTATCTACTAGTTTAATTTTATAATTATAAATCGTTATAAAAAAATAAATTTTGAATCATACCTTCAACGTTGTTTATATAGAAATAGAAATATTAGTATTAATATAATATAACAAATTGTAATGTTACAAATTATAAATAAATCATCAATTATTCTGATCTATATCTACAGTTAGTATTCTAAGCTTATGCGATTTTCATTTTAACAATAAAAAAATCACATAAATCTGAACTAAAATGTTTTTTGTTCATCAAAACAAACACAACAAGCAGTGCTATCAAATTTATGATTGTGATTGCATACATTCATAAATTTAATAGTGTACAACCTTAATAATGATGCATGTTAAATCATTGAAATTTGTTATGCATACCATATAGGATTTAGTATATAGTTTAATACTAATTCGGAATAAGAGACAGTGTGAATGAAAAGAATTAACCCAAAACTATATACAATGTTTTATACGTAGGATAAGCACATTACTATTATTGTCATAAACTTTATGTGTCATTCCAATAAAGGATATTTTTGTCTTTCAATTGACAGTAATTTATCGCGCCAATTTCTTGTAAGGTTTTTTGTTCTTCGATTGTGCCAATAATTTATCGCGCTAATTTCTCTTGTCGCTTTTGTAAAGTTGATGATTTATTGTATTAGTAAATTGCTTTTGTTCTTTGATTGCATCAATAAATCATCACTGAAATAATCAGTTTTATCTTAAATATAAATCGTATGCAAAATAAATATAAATATTAAACCGCTCTTTTAATTAAAATCTAATTTCTCAAATTTCAACTAAAATCTTTACCAATTAATCATTATAATAATGTCAACTCGAAATCTTGAAATCAAAATTTTCGAATTGGTTGAGAATTGTGTAATTACGTATAAAGAAAAAAAAAAAATATTACACAATGGTTGTTTAGTTATTTTATAGAGAATGAAGGGTTTTATCCACATTTTTCTATACTTTGTTATATATTACCTCCTAAAAATTGTCCAATTCCTGATAACTATTCTATAAAAACTACCTGGAGACGTAGAAAAAATCAACGAACAGTTCAATGCGAAATTGAATATAAGAATGGACATTCAGAATTTCGAATTTTATTTGGCAAACATATATTCAAATCAGATGAGTCGGCTAGTAAAGTTGCAACAGAGTATAATAAGGTATAGTATTAAAATCTTTGTTGTTTTAAAAAATCATGTGATTATCTCACGTTGAGTTTCTTCGTATAAGCACCTTTTGTAAGATTCTCATTTTCATCTCTAACAATTACTATTTCTTTTAAATAAAATTCTACTTAAAGGTCATAAATTCGAACAAAAAAAGTTTTTTATCTAGGCCGCTACTCTTTGGATTACAGCTTCAAACACTTAATGAAGCTAGAAAATCTCGTAGTAAACGTACGGTCAAACCTGCTAATCAATATTCACAAAAATCACTTGAAAATTGTGCAAAAAAAAAAATTGCAACAACAATCAAGGAAAATTTTATTCAAAGCACAAAATCCAATTACCATCTTCAAGATTTTATTGAATTAAAGTCATTCAAATATACTATTAATAATCAAAATTATTTTATTAATTTTGAAAAAGATGATCCTGTACTAAAAAAAGCTAAACTCTTAAATATAGTTAATATAATAGATTCAAGTTATATTTCATGAGATGCTTATCGAAATTTGGCGACAGCAGATTATCATCTACTACATGAATATATTGTTGCAAATAAATGAAATAACTTAACTCAAGAAATGGCTAAAGATATTCATATTAAACTTATTAATATGAAAACAATGATAACAGACGAAGGTTCTGATAATATGGATGAAGATTCTGATACTATAGATGAAAAATTAAAAAATATAGATAATGAATCTAATAATTTAGATTCAGATACAATTAATAACATTATTAATTCTATAGATATAGGCGGGCAACGTGATTGTAAAGGAATACTTAGATATTTAATTCCTCATTTGTTACGTAAAAAAGTATTATCGGTTCATGATCCAATAATTCATTTACAAATTTCTAGTGATGGTCGGAATGTTGGACGAAAAGTCAAGCATGTTATGGTTACATTTACAATTCTTAATGATTCAAAAAATTGCCATATACCTAGTTATCATCATACTATTGCTTTATATCCAGGGATCGAAAAATATGAATCTCTTAAATTCATATTAGATCCATTTCTTAATGATCTTAAAGATCTTAAGCTTAATGGATTAGAGGTCGCAAATATCTTATAGCGATTTGAGTTATACTTCAGTAGTGATTGGAAGTTCCTTTCGATTTGTCTTGGATTAAACGCTGCGAATTCTAACTATTTTTGTGCTTGGTGTCAATGTTCTAAACGTGAAATTGGTGATGTAACACGAGATTGGCGAATCACCAAATCGATAGATAATTTAAAGAATAATTACTTTAATATTCCAGGTCATAAAAAACCGCTATTGTTTGATATGATTTCTTTATCAAACTATGTATTTGATAAGTTACATTTATTGTTATGAGTCGAAGATCAACTCTGGACATTGATGATATCAGAAATTAAAGAATGAAATTTATTTAATGACATTAGTCGTCAAATTATTGTAAATGAAATGAATTGGCTTGGTATTAAATTCCAGTTTTGGAAAGAATCAGACATGTGGAAAAATATATCATTAACCGGTGACGACAAGATTAAAGTGTTACAACATTTTAATTTAGATATCCTTTTTTGTCCAAGTCAGGCCAGGTTAATCTGATCATTGTGGGACAGATTTATTGAATTGTATAAGGCAATATGTAATCAAAATAATGATCCTTTATATTTAAAATATTTAGCTCTTGAATAGCTAAAACTTTTTTTAAAACCTGATGAGAAGAATTTAAAAAAGACCCACGCAATATTATCAAAGGTCTTTATTTACCGACTCATGTAACTCCCTATGTTCACTTTTTGGTATTTCATGGGTAGGAACTACATGAAAAACATAAGCAATGGGGGTTAAAAGCATTTTCATGTAGTGCGGTAGAAAAAAAAAAAATCATATGCACATATCTTATTTTTTTTAAAAGACTACTCTGAATGGTGGAAATCTCCTTTAAAAAAGTCCAGCTACAATAGAAATTTTAGAATGTGAGTCACGAAACCTTTTTCATATATATAATGATCTTCCGATGCAGCCGAAAACTAAAAAAATTCATCTTAGATAAAATCATATACTGTATAACTTACTTTGTAATATTATAATATACGTACTATATATATATATAAATTATATATAATCTACATTACAGAGATAATTTTGCTTTTAATAAGATAATTACAGAACTTGTGACTCTGCGATATTACATACTTTCGCACAAGTAATTATAAAGAGACACAAAAGCTACAACTTTGTAGCAGGTATCTACATATACAAACATTTTAGTCTATTATTTAGTTTTTGAGAGAAGAGCTTTTTGATTAGTCAAAAAATAATGGTTTTAGGTAACTACTAAAAGTAACTTACTACGTATCATTAGACTCATCAATGATATTATCATTACTTCATATCAGCGTTATTAGGCACATCTGACAGGTTAAGCTACTAATTTTAGTGTAAGACTTGACTGTTACTATTAACGAAAAATACCTGAAGTTATTTATAAATTCAAAAGTTGCCTTTTGATATTAACTAAAAAAGAGCTGAATTCTTCTTTTTTCTATATTATTTATTCGCAGCACTTTTAATTAAACAATAGTGACTAAAATTATAAAGAAAGTATTTAGAAGATTTTATTTTTGTTACATTATCTGATCTTTGAGTTTATCTAACATGATTCGTAATATTGGCCTAAAATTTTAACAGTTTGAATTAATAACTAAAAATGAAGTGACAATTGTCCAAAACTTGACTTCTAGAATCGATTAAATTTGAACCAAATATTTAAAAACACTAATTAGGCAATAACTTTAGTTTATACGTATAATTAGATAATTTGATTACTTATTAAATACATATCTTTGTGAAATATAAAAAGATAAGTATATAAATCCTGCCGTACAAGTATGTCCATCTATTTCTTTAACAGTTTTTTTTCCATTCGACCAGAAGCTCACCACAAAAAAATTTAGGTTTTCTTTTTATTTTTTGATTATTTAATTGCTCCAGAGGATCGATGTCATTATTTTGATTATTGTTAATATTAGTATGATTCAATAGTTGTTCCAAAACGATGTATGTTTGTTGATTTTGATAATAATTTTTTGACCCATCTAGGATCTTCCAAAATTTGTGCTAAAGTTTAATATGCAGACTCGCCATGAAATCTGCATTTATATGCTCGTGGACTATTTGAAAATTGATGAACATAACCTTTAAAAACGGCAATAAATAGGCTTTTAGTACATGAAACTGATAACACCTTTCTTCCCATCTTAACAAAGCTTAATGGCAATTGGCGATATATTTGTTGAACTAAGATATTCTTAAATTCATGCAACATTCTAACTAGAATTTCATCGAGATCGTTATGCAGCACATTATACTTTTTAATAGTATTACAATGCTGCCTGTATCCGTTTTCTGATTTGAAATTTTGAAAACAGACAGGGCAAGAAATCAAAGAAATAGAAGGTTTAGAAGTTAAATTTTGAGAAGTAGATGATAAACACATTATTAAAAAAGCAATTCATTAAACAGTAATTTATTGCTGTTTTTATTTATTTATTGCTGTTTTTGAGATGATTAAAATGGCTAATAAAATTTTTTTATTTATGGATACAGTAAATCCAATTATTTGATTACTTTAGATGTGTATTGAAGTTCGATATAAACTACTATATTTTGCGAGCTAAACCACCTCCCTGTAGAATTTTAAGTTTTATACTTGAGCATTTAATATTATCGTTACATTGGTGCATTAAATGACTACCAATATTATTAAAAATATCTAGAGAAAAGCCGAAGAGTATTTTACAATAGTGGCTGTGAAATATGGTAATAGTTGAGTACGTATAGTATGTATGTAGTATTTGTGGCAGAGACCCGGAAAATTTTGGATATCAAATCGCAAAAATTTATTTGGATATTGGCCAATATTTGGATAAAATTTGGATAAAAAATTCGAATATTTGGAATTATTTGGATTAGTTTTTATTAAAAAAAATTATTATTAATCAATTAATTGTAAAATTTATTAGTTATGTTGATTGAAATATAGCATGTTTAACATTTTCAGTGATTCTTCGCTTAAATTTTGCCTATCACTTTTAAAAGATTATTATATACAGAAAAACTTCTTTCTACAGCACACGAAGAAATAGGTAACCAAATATAAACTAAAAGCTATATTACTTAAAAGAGGAAGTGAAATAGATATTTTATCCCAAAATTCGTCTAGATTATTAAAATCAACTAAAGTTAGATCCAAATTACAATAAAAAGCCCATTCTTGTAATAAAGCAATAGAAGGGTTTTTTAATTCTGGGATTTGAATTAAATAATTTTGAATATTCCGATTAGAAATAGTAAGTTTAACAAACCGAGGGTCAAAAATTTGTATAGCAATGAAAAGAGAACGGGAGGGATGCTGCAAAAAGTGATCATTAAATTTCAAATATACAGCAGCAAAAGCCAACTAAAATACCTCATTAAAAGCAAACAGATCTGATCCAAGATTCGTAATACAAGAATTAACCTTATCCCCAAAATTCATGCTAGAATTTTCATTTTGTAAATAAACTTCAAGTTGTTGAATTCGATTTTCAACAAACGGGATCACAGGCTCATTTTTTTGCTGAAAAAAATTGAGATCAGATATAAACTTTTCAGCATAATGCTGAATAAATGCCAGATAAATGTGTACTCGCCCACTTTCATCATGGTTGCTAAAAATGTCTACAATTTTTTTGACAGCTTCGGATGATTCAACTTTTATCTCCTCTTTGTAAAATCCTTCATACTCCAAGTAATCGTAGACATAAAATGCTATTCAAAACCATGTATTCCAACGTGTAGCAACAGGTAAAGGCATGAACTTTAATGACAGGTTTGATTGTTGATTTAACCCATAGTACATTAGATAATGCATATATCAGGCTTTGCGAGCTTTGGCGTATGTAAATGTTTTTTTTATATTTGCTATTAGAAGTTTAACAATGTTAAAGTGATAAATTGATAACCATGATTCACTAAAATAATAAATATTAATATTTTATTATCCTTTAAATTGTAACACAGGCAAATTTGCCTGTGTTTTTATTAAAAAGTTTAATTTTTTTAATAAAAACTTATATATTAA